CGAATATTTTTTCCTGAAACTACATGTTTATGTATAAAAGACGTGAAAAAGTGGATTTTGCATATTAGGTGACCTTTAATGTATGTGTAACTATATACAATATTTAAATTGAACCCTCCATTTCCATTTCATCATACATGGTTTGTGCAATTTAATATTATCCAAACAGTGTCTGAAGTGCTACCTCTTTAGCAACCTCATTATTACTGGTTTCACCCAGTATTTCAGGTATATGATAGTTACTTGAAGTAACTACTTTGTTGTATATTTTACGGCTGACTTCTCAATAAAGCCTGTTGACCATCTGCTTGAAATTGTGCCAATCCAAACCAGTTTTGTTATTTATGTTTAATCCTCAGTCTACTAACATATTCAAAAATGCAGGGATTAAAGACTGGGTTCCATGGGACCATGGGCCGTAAAAAGCAATAATAACAACAACATTTTAACTTATTTCATCAAGGAAGATCATTAAATATGTAATCACTGTCATCTGAAAAAGAAAAAAATCTAACTATTATTGTTTCTTTTTTGTTGTTAGAGTTAATTTGCATATTGTGAAAAACATTTTCGTCAGTTTCCTTCAAAAAGACGGAGCCTTTCTACCCTGAGAGTGTGTGCTACTTTAAATTAGGACGCAGAGTAAACTCCATGGATAGTTCCATCTGAATTTGGTGTTTTCATCTAAAGTCTTTTTAAAATGACTAATTGATACAGAAAACAATGAGTAGGAACAACTGACATGACATATTAATAAGAAATTGGAAGTATATAATGTAGCACCTGTGACATATGACTGGGTGTGCAGGCACTGCATTTGATAATGTAAAGGTTGAACAAAATGATATCCAAAGAAAGTGACACCAAACTGGATAACAGATCATTATAAGTGACTGTGGTAATTAGTTTACCCGAGTCAGGCCTTTACCTTCCATAACCAAGGACATTATTTAAACAAATACATGACTTAGTGACCTAGTTTGTTAATGGTATGCTGACTTACAAACATGGGACCTATACAAAACAACTTTTTGTGGCACTTTTAGAACTAACTATTATTGTTTTGTTTATTTAGGATGGAGTGAAAGCTGTCAGTAAAACCCAAATAATCAAACTTGCCGAGCAAAAACTGTCCAATGACTAAATGTCCTGTCAGTCCATGCTTACCCTTACTGTAGTTTGATTATAATAAAGTGACAAATGACATACATGAATGACTAAGGTCCATGGATTTGTCACAGCAATAAATAAGACTAATGATTCTAATAGGATATGTGAGTGATTAAGTATTAATAGGATCAAAGGTCTATGTGCAAGTCTCACCAAACAGGTAGGGATGAATGAAATAGCAGTAGCATCATACTGTATAACATGTTTTCGGCCTTCCACCCTCTCTCCCTTCTTCTCTCCTCCTGTGAGTGGGGTCGGGATTTAGATGTTGTGAGTTCCCCACCTCTCTCCCAAAATAAAGTACGGAGCCAGAGCACTCCCTGGTGGTGCCAAACCTGAACTTCAACAACTCAAACTTGGATAACTTTTTTTGGCTGAGTGAGTCTGTCTCCGTTCAGCATCAGCAGCCTGATAAGACCCGGGACAGTCCCAGCAGGAGTTTGCTTTGGTTTGGATACAAAGTGGAAAGCAGGAGGATGTGAGATCTAGGGGAATTGGAAGTTGATGTCGGGCCACTTGTTGCTTCCACAGTGTGTATGTGATCCAAGCAGAGAATCACATAGAAAACACATGGATTCCCTAAAGTTTTCTTTCTTACTTTAAGTTTCATACTTATCAGATATGGATTGGTAGATTTGCTAAGTCATCTATTGGTTAAAATAAAAGGCTTTCTATTAGGGGTGTAACGGTTCACAGAAGTCACGGTTCGGTTCGTACCTCGGTTTGGGGGTCACGGTTCGGTACGGATTCGGTACAACAAGAAAAAGCAAAAACAGTCCCAAATGCATAATTCCAGGTTTGTTATTTATGTTTGAACAGTAGTGCAAGTTTCAGTTTAAAAATAAGGATCTCTGACATTTTGAATAATTAACTGTATTAAACAGTTAAAAACAAACCACAAACAGTACCACACACACTCAGATGGCCATATTATCTATAATGGCTGATGTCAAACAAAAAGGTTTCATCAAGCTGTAAAACTAAAAAGAATGTCTTGAAAATATTACATCATAAATAATAAGAAAGCGTTTCAAGAGCACAAAGTCGTTGAAAAACATATGCCAAAAGCTTCCGTTATTTATTTTGGTCTCAAGGCTTTCATTGTCTATTGGTTTATTAAAAACAGCGGGGATCAGCTGTTGAACTGCTGTTGTCTTTTGCCGGGCTCCGGTGATTGGCAAATCTGGGTGATGCCTTCTGATATGAATTAGCATGTTTGGCGTGTGTTTCCATTAGCATACTGCACTGCTATCGAACAACGCCGACACACCGTCCTCGTCCAATCCACCGTCCTCGTCCAATCCACCACTCATCCGATCCACCACTCGCACACTTCATCGTTATTGTAGTCCACAGGGAACCCAACATTTTCCCACACAGCTGATTTAAAAGAAGCAGGTAGGTTCTAGCTCCTGTGTGTTATCTGAAATCGCCATACTAACTTTACTTCTTCTTGTATTTTGTTCGTTTTGTTGTTGTGTTTCTTCTTGTTCTTTATTTGTTGTTTAGCCCTAAGCCTGTTTTTCAGGTCTCAGGCTCGAAAATGACATTCCCAGAACAAATTACCATATCTTCCCTTCTAAAAGGGTTAAATTAATAATCTTTTTTTCTCAAAGTAATGATAAACCTGTGAGTTGGATGTAGAAAAGTCAGAATCAATATAGATGTTTTTTATTTTAAAGAAAATTCAGATTGAACATAGTAAAAAACTGTAAATTATAGTGTCCGTCCAAATTATTTTTTACTTATAGTGAAAACTACCCTTGGATGATGGTAAGGTAGACTAAAAGCTTTATAAATCCAAATTACAACATATAATAAGTACCCTGTATCAAGAGTGATGCAAAACAAGTGACATTTGACCTTTTTAGAGAGGTTTAGCAAAATAAACTCCACCTCGGAGGTGATTTGGGTGGAAATGGGGGTTTTACCGTTTCTCTGGAACCCATTGGTCGATTTTGGTGATTGACATATCTTTCTGACCGTTAGAGCCAATAGAAACGAAGAGGAATCTCCCCACTCACACACATGGTAAAACAAAAAGGTGGGGGCTTCGCGGACGCAGTTTTGCATGAGAGTGAAGCTATAGAGCTATAGCTCTAGCTCTGACATCTGTAAACCGAAAAGCAGGTTTATTGCTCATGGATTATCAGAAATAATTTCAAAGGGACACAGACACATTGGATTAACCTATGGATTAACTTCAGCAGCGTTTTTATCATTTTAAAGCCATTGAAGACCACTTTTGACCAGACTACGACACAGGTGAGCCATTTTAGCGTTTTTAGCTACCTAGCGCCATATGTTTTGATGTCTGTTCTTGTTATTACCTCCACAAGTTCGTATCATTGAGTGATAATGAGGGTACCCTTTGATTCTGTGTCACCTCACGATGTGTTGGATGTGCACCAAAGATAAATAATAAGGTTTTGTGAGTGAATTTCGGTGCAGTCATCTGTTAGCATTTTTCGCTCGTTGCTAATTCAGAGGCTCAGCGTTAGCATTGTGGGTTTTTTGAAAAACAATTTTTTTAAATGATCAGTTAGATGAGTTTCTTCCCGTTACATGGATATAAAACATTCATATTTTATTAAATGAACATGCCCTCAAACACTGTTTCCTGCAAGATGTTGCGGCAGTACCCCGGTACCGGGGTCTCTCGGACTTAACAGGTTAAGGGCGGCTGGCAAACAGCTTTTAGGCGCAATACCGCCCCCTGGATTATAAATAGTGTAATGGATACTGCTCTGAATGACAGACTTTTTTCCCACTCGTAAAAAAAAGGCGTATTCGTCGTGTGACTGCATGTGCCGAACCGTGACGTCCGAACCGTGACGGTACGGGACGAATACGGATACCGTTACAGCCCTACTTTCTATCACTCATACATGTTATTTACATGTCCGTTGTGGCTCTACTCAAATATGACAGTAACATATATTACAAAAGCACCTGCATGATATTTGACATATAGCTATAGCTATCAAGTTATAATAATGTTATAATGAAGACAAAATGTTCTCTGTTCTCTTACAGGCTCTCAAGAATATGGTGATGCGATAAGTGTCATTATACAGGCTTTTTGATTTCATATATTGCAATTCTGTATATTTTTCAAATCTGATTTTGGGAAAACTGTCAGTGTTCCTCATTTTTATTTAATCTGAACAGAACAATCTGCAATTGCTTTTGTCACAGTCCCTGACTTTACAAGAACCAATTCTTAGGTTCGAAGATGATGCCAAAGTTTGCAAACTGTGAAAGTAAAACAACTTTTTACAGTGGGCTATGCAACTGCAACAATGCCCTTTAGCTCCTTTTGAGCCATAAACTAAGAGTGTCCCGTCCTCCAAAGGTCGATAGAAAATATAGTTGGGACACAGTGAACTCACTATAGAAACATCAAAGGATCACACCTTACTTTTTTCCTGGGAATGCTACATTGTAAACAACAGATCAATGTTGAAATTGGTAGAAAAAGAGCTAGTGAAGTTATCTGTTAGCTGCTGCTTAAAGAAGATTCCATAGAGTTGCATTTAAGTTCGAAGCTAGGCAGACAACATGACAACACCCCAATCCTAGCCTCTCCATTGGCATATTTTGGAATTGATTTAGATTTTACTGATCACTCCCGAGCACGTTTTGGTTTGGCCACAAGCTACATAAGTGTCCAACATGCTGGGTATTCTTACTGTTGGCAGCTAACACATATTGAATGTAAGTTTGGTGGACAGTGTGCATTTGATTCATCTAGTTCATTGTGTGGACTGACACCATTTATATATGCTCACAATATGAATTGTAGGGGTAATGATTTTGGGGTTAGGTACCTGAGTCCAAAGCCTCCCGCAGCTCTGCAGGTCCACTGGTGGCTGGAGGAGCTCGATACAGAGAATCACTGTTCAATCCTGCAGATAAAAACAGGTAGAAGAAGAGGAAGGAAGTCAGCAGTCAGCCTGAAAACATGTGTTTACTACAGCTAACTTGTAAAGTTGGGCTGCATATTACAGTGAAATACGTTAAAGGTTTTTTCAACAGTGAAATAAGGATGGTTGTCCACCTTATGCAGGAGTTATGATGTTGATAAATTAGCTTAGCATAAAGACTAGTAGCAGGATGCAATTGCTACCCTGCGGTTTAAAAACACACACAGAAACACTTTTTAAGCAGATGGAACAACATGTCTATATTTGTTGTCCAGTTTATAGGTAAACAAAGATGTAAAAATGACAGTTTGAGTCAATATTGATAATAGTCGGTGCCGCAACAATGTGCAGGGAAGTTAAAAAGTTTGCTACCATAATTAAAAAAAAATTAAAAAAGAAAGTGCTACACATAAGTAATGGGTGACTTGATACACCGATGTTCCAAAAAAAGGACCTCGATCATATAACTCTTGATAATTATTCAAAGGTCCCATAATATACTATACTTATAACCATATATGTGACCTGCTCCATCGAAATCAGTTGCATTGACCCGAAGACACATTTTGAGTTGTAGGTGTCACGATCTGTCTGTGTTGTGTTTTGTCTTGTCTTTTTCTGTCTTTGGTTTCATGTTTTATTTTGAAAAGTCTTCACCCCCTGTCTTGCCTGTCGCTTTCTGTCTGTTTTCCCTCCTACCTGATGACCCGATTGTGTTCACCTGGTGCCCCTGTGTTTTCTCCTCCCTCCTCACCTGTGTCTTGTTTGTGTGATTAGTCTTGTGTGTATTTAAGTTCTGGTTTTTCTGTCTGTCATTGTTGGTTCATTGTTTGTCGTTGACTGTGTTCACGAGGTAGTGTTCTGTTTGTTCCTTAAAGACCTTGAAATAAAGGTATTTTTTCTGTTTATTCTGCATTTGGGTCCTGCCTGCTTCACTCACCCTAACAGTAGGCTATACACTGTGAGATTCCTAGCTTTCTAATGATATCAGGATTGTTTTTGTACTCCAAATATTAAGCAAAATATGTCACATTATATAATTACTGTCACCGAGTCATCATTTTGAGAAAAAGGCCTTAAAGTTTCCTCCATCGGAATCTATCGATCTGATTGATTATTAGCGGAGCAAATGATCAAAGTAGTACTGAGGGAAAATATTTTCGTTTGGATTACTGGTCTGGGGGAAGCAAGCGAGTGTGTGTGTATATGTGTGTGAAAACACTCATGAGAAACACTGGCTGTTGTTATGCCTGCTGTGACGTCAAGTTACTCCGTTCTCCGCTTGTAATTATGCCGTTACAAGCTTCAACGTTATATTTATCATCTGAATTTGCCAAAACAAGTTTAATATTCTGAAAGCCAAGACTTTGTTTAATTTAAATCAGATGAAAACAAACTGTAACGGACCCTGCCGTGTTATCTATGATTACTATACGAATCCACGTTTATTTTTTAAATGAGCCGTTGCGACTTCCGACTGATTTCGATAGAGCAGGTCACATATTATAGGGCTATATCTATACAAAACATGTCCCTGAAGTTTTTGCTCAAAATACCAAACAGATCACCCATTGTAGCCATGCCTCATACCCCTCTATTTCAGCCCTGGTACAAAAGTGCTGATTCTGGGTCTGTAGCTTTAAATGTAACCGAGCAGCTGCTGGCCACGCCCCTTTGGAGTGCAGGCAAGCAGTGAGCTCTGTGAAGAGAAGAGTGTCAGCAGAAACTCAGCTAAACGCTGCCGTGATTAAACGCAATATTATTTTCCAAACCACATCAAGGATTATTTCTGAAACAGTATGGAGCTCAAACGCTTTCTCTCGCGCGGGTTTACCACAAGGTGAGTACCTGTTCATATCCTGCTTCTTTACACATATTCTCTCCAGTACAGCTTTAGCTCTGAGTGTTAGCAATGCTTGCTAATGTAAACACAAACCATATTACTTCCAAAGCACGTCGCGCATTGTTTCTGATACAGCACATAACTTGACATGTATCAAGATGGTCGCAGCGTGAGCAAGCGCATCTCAAGCTTGTCTGTTTTTCGCTGTTAAATTAGCTCTTTAAAGCTTATGCCATTGATCCACATGATCTGAACCCATGAACATTTGAATAACTTAAGAATACATAGTAAAGCGGCTCACTACGGTCTCTGGATTAGTGTATTTTTTTGATTTGCAACTATGGAGGGAAACATGTCTCTGCAAACTTTGTGGGACGCGATTCAGCAAATCAAGACCGACATGCTGACTCACATTGACACAAAAATGTATCCCATTCAAAGTAGCTTGAGCAGGATACACAGGATTCCCTGTCTAGTTTGGGAGACCAGGTCAATTTGTTAGAGCAGCGTGTTGGGGCTAATGAGGACAATGTACACAAGTGTGTCGCTCGAGTCAAGCAGCTTGAGAAAGACAACTCCTTCCTAACGTCTAAAGTTGATGACTTGGAGAACCGGAGCCGACGTTCTAACCTTCGCTTCGTAGGAATCCAGGAGTCCGCTGAAGGCAGTGACATTATCGGCTTCATGTCTCGGCTCATCCCGCAGCTCCTGGGGCCAGATGCTTTCCCTACCCTGCCGATCATTGTATTATGACATTGGGGTCATGCAGAGTGAGATCGCTGTTCCTTTAAGAGAGGGATGTGGGCTTGCATGTGTGTGTGGGTATGGTTGAGCGAGAGTGAGCGAGCCGGATATATGTTTTCGAGAAGTAAAACGAGGCAGCAGAAAAAGGATAGGTCTGTGATGTATCTTGTGAAACAGAAGAGCTAAATAAATGCAACGACCTCCCAAGAAGAGCTCGCCTCTCTCCAGTCATTCCGATAAAGTGGGTTATTGAACCCGAAGCGTGTTGCTTCTGCCCTGGGAGACGACAGAGAGTCATCCCCCCTGTTTCCTCGACTATGGTCTGGGAGCCGACTGGAAAGTTCAACAATTGAGAGGGCACACCGCTCACCGACTGCCAGGCAAAACTCCCGTGCCAGCCCCGCGGGCCATCATGATCGAGCTGCTGAACTTCCAGGACAAAGTGAAAATCCTTCGTCTTGCCAGGAAGAAAAAGTCTCTGGACTACAACGGGAAACACATCAGCATATATCCCGATTTCAGTCCCGAGCTTACCAGAAGACGCCGGAGCTTCGATCCAGTCAAACGCAAGCTCCGTGAACTCAACATGAAGTACTTTCTCCTCTACCCGTGCACCCTCTGCGTTGTTGTTGATGGCACACAACAACGCTTCTCGACCCACAAAGATGCGGAGGCAATCTTTATGTCTACCTCAAACTCTCCTGGGTGACAAACATCCCCAGAGATGAGGCTGCTGCTAATGGTAGCATGTTGATCCACTACGATGGTGCATCTAAGTGACTTTCTCCTCGGTTTCCTCTCTTCTCTTCTCTTCCCTTGTTTTTTATTTTTCTCATCTTTTTACGTGACGTGTCATCAGGGCCGCCCCTCCCTACAGGCCAATCACGCAGGCTGCATGGGGCCCCGCCTTGCGCAGGGGGCCTCAGCTGCTGTGCATAGTTCTCCACTCAGTTCTGTGCGCACCCCTCGCGAGAGTGAGAGTGAGAGGTGACAAGGGGAGCACGTCTGTAACCCGACACCGTTTAAATGAATCGACATCTGACCAATCACGGCTTTGATACGGCCACTAGTGCAGGTGAAGAGATGTCAGTGAAAAGACAGTTTCAGTCCGGCACAAGCAAGAGGGAAAAAAAAAAAAACATGAAGAAACTAGAGCATCACTCGAAAGTGGGTTATTGTATGAGTCAAATGTACAACTTGTGAATGTTGTATAAGTCAAATTGCCAATTGCCATATTAAAACATCAGCTGCAATTCACGACATGAAGAAGGCAGTCTCTGCATCGCATATAGGCTAATGGAGATGCAGTTATTTCCAGCATTCTTTATTTACCATTCATTCAAGTATGTGATGCCTTTTATCTGCTAATGTACAGGAGGAAGAGTGATAAACTGTCTGTCTAGTTGGCTTACATAACAGTTAAAGTTTACAGCCTAAAAAACATGGAGCATTTTTCCCCCTTTTATTCATTTTTATGTCAATTTGCACATTTCATGGTGATGCTCAGCCTCTCCCCTTAAGGCAAGGCAAGTTTATTTATATAGCACCTTTCAACACAAGGCAATTCAAGGTGCTTTACAAAAATGAAAGACTTCCAGACAAAGGCATTTAAAAACAGTAAAAGATAATAAAAGAAACATTAAAAGAAAAAATACATGAATAAAAAGTAAACTTTTACTCCTAACAGTCATCATCATGTCAATCACAACACAGAGAAATACTGATAGAAATGTGTGTGTAGTTGTTGATACATTGCTGACAGAGGGAACTACATTTGAATACAGATTTAAGAAGTATCAGTTTTTGAGTCATGTCATAAGCATGTTTTGTCTTGACTATATTACAACTCTATTATAATAAAATAATATAGTATTTATATTATTGAATTGATTATGATTATTATTATTAGTAGAAGTAGTTTATTTGCATTCATTATATTTAATATTTTTGAGGCTAGTATTTGGCAGGAAATGCAGACGTATTCACCTGTAAACGCATACTGAACGACATAAATGCACATTTACCATTTACCTCACTGTATAAAAAAGTAACTGTGTTGATAATAATAATAATAATAAACAGGAATTATATTTGCAAAGTAGCCTACTTTGTTTCCAAAAAAAAATGTTTCACTCCTGTCGGTTGGGGGGGGGGGGGGCCTCATCTCACAATGTCGCTTGGGGCCCCAAGTTAGCCAGGGGCGGCCCTGCGTGTCATGACTGCTGAGATGTTGTTGACACTCTCTTTTGTGTTTATTATAACTTAATATAACAGGTGGGAACCCACCTGGCTCTTTCAGTTGTGTGGTTTGTTTACATTTTAACAAGTGACAGGAACATTATTTGCTATTATTTCCAGACTGGATGAATTAAAGGGTATACAAATCATTCATTTG